AAGGAAAGAGGCGTTGGGGTTCAGGGAAGTTTTCTCACGGGTACGAACGATTCAAAACATTGCTAGAGAGTAAATTTGATAAGATCTTAGCTTAAACTTTTCGAACTGGAGTCACGGACGTATGAATACGCCACTGTCGTGATCATAGACAACTATCTCTCTCAACCCTGACCAGTAGGTTTCCACTCTGGCCCTGGAAAAGAAGAGATACATTATGTTTAAGACTCGTCAGCATTCACAAATCGCCCATAGGTAGGTTTCCACTCCTATGTTTGTTTTGCTCTCCCAAACTAGATTTGACACCGGATGAACACTTTCGTGTCACCAAGCATCTGGATCAGATTGTAGTTCATGACGCTACTCTCATGCAGTAAAAACGAATTCAGAAGAAAAAGTTCTAAGATTCGGCTCAAAAGCTCATGGAATCCTCATCGAACATATAAATCCCCATCGAAAATCCCTTAATCCCAACAATAAAACTACTCAGACATGATGAACGAAATCAAAAACATATTAAAAAGTAGAATAGAAACCAAAATTGAAAAAGAAAGAACAAGGGTTCAAGAGACAAATCTCTCTCTCCCTAAAACCTAAAAACAAAGCTTAAAATAAAATTTCTGTAAAGTATTTCGTCTCTCCTCCTCTCTCTCTAAAAACGACCTAAATGACATGTATTTATAGTCTCCAATACTCTCTGGTGTCTAGGGTTCCAGAGTTGAGGCTGGGAAAATGATACGGACTTCAGAAATGGGCCTTCGAGCTCGGAGTTAGCTGGCCGCGGTCGGGATGGCTGTGACCGCGGGGAATGGCTTGCTAGCCGCGGTCGCGGTGCTTCTGACCGCGGGAAATTGCTTGTTGGCCGCGGGTGGAAACGCTTGTCGGCTGGTTTACGAGACATCTTTCTCTTCGCGTATCTTTTGATTGAACCGTTGGATTGCCAAGCTGTAAAGTGTGCTGTAAACGTGATACTTCCATCTTTAAGGTCTCCAAATTTTAGCTGGATCAGACGGTGAGAAGGCCTTCAATCAGGGGTGAACTTCTGACGGTTTGACTCTGAGCTGAAATCTGGTTTTCTATCCATTTTGTTAAGTTTTTCCCTAAGTTACCTGAAAAGAGTCTTGGAACTACAAATACTAGAAAAACGTAATAAAAGTACTTGAAAGCAATTAAAAATATAGAAAAAGTATTTCAAAACGATCCATAAAAGTGGTCAAAATACGGTGTTATCAACTCCCCCAGACTTAAACCTTTGTTTGACCTCAAACAAAGCAAAAGCCTAAACTGGTTAAGTGAAAACAAAAATAGGGAATGCACAAATCTCAGAGACATGAACTCCTAAACTAGGACCAAAGATAGTGCATCAATCCACCACTTAACCTAAAAAATTCTCACCAATGCACAAGAAATACTAGTCCACTTTTTCCGTCATGCAAAACTTAAACAATCTAAATATTGATTCCAGTCAACTAGCTCTCTACATTCATTCAGTTCAATAGTGAGTTCCCATTAAAGACATCATCCAGGGTAGACGGTGTTTGGCATTAAAGGGCTGTTTAAGTGGTGGAGTTAAAGTGTTTCGGGTTACCTGAAGATCTGGAGGACGCAAGATAATATGCAAAACTGCAAGAGAGATAAGGACCTGTTGATGACCGCAATTTTCAGTCACTTCTTCTTGCCAAATGTTGTTGCATAATCCTTCCTCCTTTGTTGTCAACAGCTATTCCCCCAGACTTAGATTCTTTCCGGGAATCAGAAAATGATCTCCAAAACTCCATAAAATTCGAACTCCAGTTGCCTTGGGACTTAGAATTCGACCTCTCTAGACTCTCTAAGGCTTTTATTTCCTTTCTTTTCTTATTTTCGGATTTTTTTTTTTTAAGAATAGGAAATGCCTTTTTAAGAGAGAGAGAGAGACTAGAGGACGAGATTGTACCAAAATTTGAGATTTTTCTAAGGCAAACTGAGCTTCCTCTTGTGTTGAATCCTTCTGGGAACTTTTCCGGCAAATCGCAGGTCTCTGTCCTTAGTGACTGAAAACTGCGTCGTTCCTCTTTCTCTCCAACGTTTTTGCACTTATCTGCATATAAGACAATAGAAAACAAGAGTGCATGTGGTTTGAAAGACGATTGGTTAAGGTGGGGAACTAGCTAAAGATGAACTAGCCATTCAGGATCAACTGAGAGTGGTAAAAGGATAAAGGAGTCTTGAATGTATGATTCGTTTCCCTGGTCTAATGCTTCAATGAAAAAATTAAGTCCAAATTAAGTCCAAATAAACCAGAGCTAGTGTATCCCTTCATCTAAATCGAAATCATCAAATTCCTCTGGGGTACTTCGTTTCAAATGTGCTTAGCTACCGCCTAGTCTAGTCCTAAATCATGAATGAGCATGTCACTAGGAACAGTCTAAAGCACACAATCAACTATCATTGATTCATGTTCACCATTCCCTTTAAAACGTATTTTGTTTTGAAAACCGATTTTGAAAAACTTTAAGGAAAATGCAAAAAGTGTAGATAATGCAAGACTCATGAAACAAAAGTGGTTAGAAAGGGATGAAATCCTCCCCCAGACTTAAATCACACTGTCCTCAGTGTGAAACAAGTCGAGATTGGATGAGAAAAATGCATAGATAATCGAATTGGTAAGGCCAAAGAGAACTTACCTAGATCCGGGATACTGGTGGAGATGAACCGGATTCATTCGAAGAGGTTTGGGAAGGTGATAGGTGGTGATGAAGGTGGTGGAGGGTGATGAATGAGGTGGAGTGGGGATTAGTGAGGTGGAATGAGGTGAGGTGGGTGGTTTGGGGTCGGGTTTGATCTCAACGACCATTTGCCGTGGTCAGGAGCCACGCGACCGCAGTAAACAGGTGCTTGGCCGCGGTCAAAATCACGCGACCGCGGTCAGAACGTCTGCGACCGCGGGGGCTTATTTTGCGGCCTCTTCCTGCTTCTTCTTGGTTCCTGCTGGGCCGAGCAGTCAGGGACCATCATTCTTTTTGGTTTTTTCGGGTTTTTTTTATTTTTTTTTTATTTTTTTGTTTTATAAGAAACACCTGAAACTAAGAAAAAGAAAAAGATCAATAGAAAAAGAAAGAAAAATCCTAAAGAAAACAATATCTAAATGGGTTGCCTCCCATTAAGCGCTTCTGTTTTAAGTCATTTAGCTCGACTTTTGGTGTTGGACATGGCTTAGTCCAATGAAGAAGACCTTGTCCTGAGACAAGTCTTTTTTGACATCTCCTTGCTTTCCTTTGTATATCCCTTATAACGCCATTCCCAATTGGAATTTTTGTCCTCAGGTTCGAGATGGTAGCCTCCTCCAGGATCAAAAATCAGTCTTGGAGCTCCTTTGAGGCATGAGTCTTCAACACCACTTGTGATAGTAGAGCGTCTTAGATGCTTGTATGATGAGGTGAATAAGGTCTCTCTCACTTTGTTCGTCAAGCTTGTTAATCCAGCGTTTTCTTTGGGTGTTCTTCTTTCTAGAACATATCTGATAGAATCATGGAACCGGAGGGAACAAAGGACGAGGTGCGAACCGAGGTTCAGGCCGGAACACAAGACCAAGTGGCCGACCTAAGCAAAGTCGAGGTTCAGGACGGGACGCAAGACCAAGGAGCCGACCTGAACGACGTCCTGGCCATACCAACTGGACCAATGACCAGGTCGCGTACCAAGAAACTCATGGGGACCATCCAACGAGTTCTCACCGAGCTAAGAAGCCAAGGCCGAGCTGACGACCTAACACCCGTTCACAAAGTCATGACCGTTCTCATGTACTCTGGTCCGAACTGACCTGGTTGGGGTGTTGTGTTAATACTCTTTTTCCTTACATTCAGTTTTGTCCCACTGGGTTTTCCGAATGGGGTTTTAACGAGGTTAATGCACACCCAACTCACGACCAAGGTTCGATTCGCGGCCAAGTATAACGGTCAAGAAGTTCAAGAGTTAGCGAGAGGATGCGAAGGGTTACCCAGAAGTCCGATCGTTATTCAACGTATTTCTAGTTTCATTTAGTTTCAATTAATGTCTTTTAATTTTCTGTAAAGACCGATGGTCTCCCTCTAGCCTCTATATAAAGGCAACGATATACTTGGATTTCTCATCACTTATCTTTTATAAAATTTCTCTTTGAGTTTTCTCTTTTGTTCTTCAAGAACTTTGTCGATATTTTGGTGGTTAGCCATTGATCGATTTCCGGTTTATCAAGTAGTTTCATCCTGCTTGACGCAGCCTTCGATTCCAAAGTGAAAGAGAGAGTTGTAGTCGTATTTGGGGCTTAGGGAATTTCGGGACTTGTCTCACACCCTAACATCCGGTATCGCAACCCCTTGATCATTTTGTCCATCCCCTCGTTTTCAAACCTTTTCTTTTGGAATTTGGGCCTAAGGATTTTCGAGCTCTTGCTCACGCCTTAGCATCTCTTCCACGATCCGGTTTGGACTCAAGGTCTATCAACCTCAACCGAGCCAAGTGTGTGACAATTCTAGGACGGTCATCTATCAAGTGGTATCAGAGCCACGCACTTGCGAGTTCGGTACTATCTTTCTTTTCCTTTAGAGTTCAATCTTTTCTCATCTTTCTCTTGTAATTCGTTTAAAAAAAAAAAAAAAGGAAATTCAAAAGTCAAAAAAAAAGAAAAAAAAAAAGAAAGAAGTCCAAAAGTTTTAAAAAAAAAAAAAATGATCAGAATTCTTTTCTTTCTATCTATTCTTCTTGTCTCTTAAACTTCCAACCTGCTTGATTCACCGTTTTGATCAAGGCTTAAATCGATTTGTCGACTTAGTTTGCTTAGAACCGGAGAGAAACTCTAGTGTGTTGTGAGGTCATTAAGAGAGTGAGTGAACAAAGAGAGAAACACTTGTGAGGAATTTGATTACTAACGTGTTTGTTCAATTTTGCGAGGTACTTGTATGTCATCCGATTTCTCTTTGCACGACTGTGAGTTCTACACATTCCGAGACGGTAATCACGTTCGCTGATACACCCCAGGAGAGATGGAAGCCAAGCTTAATCAAATCACCGAGATGATGGAGCGCATGAGCCAACGAATGGAGCGGCTTGAAGGTCAGCTGAGGCCAGCGGAAGTAAACGATCAAAACCGTGAGGAACCTATGCACATCCGCCGAGATCGGAACCAGGAACCTGAGATCGACAATCCTTTCTACGATGACAACCATTCATCTGGTAGTAGCCGAGTGAGACCGCGAGTTAACCGAATGTTTCGTGGCCGAGCTGGAGGAATCCGTGACCGAGGACACGCCATGCCCGCGAGAAACCCAAATGACCGTTATGAAGGAGGACGGCCACAACAGCGTTACGAAGCCGAACCGGCTAGAGGCCGAAACGACAACGACCTCGGGGGAATGAAGCTCCGGATTCCAGCATTCTACGGCAAGAGCGACCCGAACGCTTTCCTGGAATGGGAAAAGAAGGTCGACATCATCTTTGGGTGTCAAGATCTTCCGGAGAGGAAGAAGATAAACCTAGCTGCTTCAGATTTCAACGGTTACACGATCAAATGGTGGGATCAGATTGTGATCAGTAGAAGAAGAAACGGAGAACGGCCTGTTGAAACCTGGGAAGAGATGGCTACCTTGATGCGGCAACGTTTCGTGCCCGCACATTATCAACGCGAGCTGCACACCAAGCTCAGACGTCTTACTCAAGTAACCAAGTCTGTGGAAGACTATCACCAGGAAATGGAGAGGCTTATGATCAAAGCTGATGTCTTTGAACCTGAGGACGCGACGATGGCGCGATTCTTAAGTGGGTTAAACCGAGATCTTCAAGACCGAATGGAACTTCAGGAGTACCAGGACATGTACGAGATGTTACATAAAGCAATCCTCTTGGAACAACAACTCAGGCGCAAGGGAACCAATCGGTTCACTACCGGATCCAGTTTGCGACCGACCTACCGAGATGACAAAGCTGTCTATCCTACGCGGCCGAAGTCAGAAGTCAAACCCGGTCAGGGCTCCGCCGACCTCAAAGGCAAAGCCGAGGTAACCTCAGCCCGGACTCGTGATATCGAATGCTTTAAATGTAGGGGCAAGGGCCACTATGCGAACAAGTGTCCAAACCAGAGAGTTATGATCCTTCTAGACACTTGCGAGGTCGTGTCCGAAGCAGAAAGTGAAGCCGAGCCGAAGTATGACGAGGAGCCAGAAGAAGAGTATGCGGCTGGAGGAGAGCTACTGGTAGCACGGCGAGTGCTAGTGTCACAAGAACCGGTCCGAGAAGAGGATCAAAGGGAAAATCTTTTCCACACACGGTGTATAGTCATGGGGAAGACCTGCAGCATGGTCATAGATGGAGGAAGTTGCACGAATGTAGCAAGCCAGAGCATGGTGGAGAAGCTCGGAATGCAAACTATCAAGCATCCGCATCCGTACAACCTCAGATGGCTTAACAACCAAAGGCAACTCAAAGTCACCAAGCAAGTCACCGTGCCATTTAAGATTGGGCGATATGAAGACGACGTGCTATGTGATGTTCTACCCATGGAGGCCGGACACATTTTGTTAGGACGGCCGTGGCAGTTCGACCGGAAAGCAGTCCACGATGGGTTCACCAACAAACATTCGTTTGAACACCAAGGACGGAAGGTCATGCTGGCGCCTCTATCCTCACATGAGGTCTACCTGGATCAAATCCAATTGGAAAGAAGTAACAAAGGCAAAGCTACCATGAGTGACCCCCTAAACACATCCACCAAAAATGAGAGCGATACTTTGAGTGAACCACCACAAAAAGCCTTAAACACTCAACCCGTGAGAAGAGATACTCTATTTGTGAGGCCAAGAGAGATTAAACAGGCCAAAATCTTTTCCACACACGGTGTATAGTCATGGGGAAGACCTGCAGCATGGTCATAGATGGAGGAAGTTGCACGAATGTAGCAAGCCAGAGCATGGTGGAGAAGCTCGGAATGCAAACTATCAAGCATCCGCATCCGTACAACCTCAGATGGCTTAACAACCAAAGACAACTCAAAGTCACCAAGCAAGTCACCATGCCATTTAAGATTGGGCGATATGAAGACGAGGTGCTATGCGATGTTCTACCCATGGAGGCCGGACACATTTTGTTAGGACGGCCGTGGCAGTTCGACCGGAAAGCAGTCCACGACGGGTTCACCAACAAACATTCGTTTGAACACCAAGGACGAAAGGTCATGCTGGCGCCTCTATCCTCACATGAGGTCTACCTGGATCAAATCCAATTGGAAAGAAGTAACAAAGGCAAAGCTACCATGAGTGACCCCCTAAACACATCCACCAAAAATGAGAGCGATAATTTGAGTGAACCACCACAAAAAGCCTTAAACACTTAACCCGTGAGAAGAGATACTCTATTTGTGAGGCCAAGAGAGATTAAACAGGCTGTGCTTAAGAAGCAGCCTTTCATTCTTCTTATGTTCAAATCCGCTTTGGCTAGCACGTCTAACTCCGAGCCGGAACTTCCGAGCAGGATTTCTTGGGTTTTTCAGGAATACGCAGACGTCTTTCTCGAAGACAATTCAGGCGGACTACCACCGATCCGAGGTATTGAGCACCAGATCGACCTCGTACCTGGAGCGTCCTTACCCAACCGACCTGCGTACCGCACCAATCCGACTGAGACCAATGAACTCCAACGCCAGGTCAACGAGTTGATGGCCAAGGGCTACATCCGCGAAAGTCTAAGTCCTTGTGCCGTGCTCCTGGTGCCAAAGAAGGATGGAACCTGGCGAATGTGCGTCGATTGCCGAGCTATCAACAACATCACGGTAAAGTATCGCCACCCTATCCCTCGTCTTGATGACATGCTAGATGAACTTTATGGGTCTAGTGTGTTCACAAAGATAGATTTAAAAAGTGGTTTCCATCAGATCCGAATGAAGGAAGGAGATTAGTGGAAGATCGCGTTCAAAACCAAACATGGTTTGTATGAATGGCTGGTCATGCCATTCGGCCTAACCAACGCACCTAGTACCTTTATGCGATTAATGAACCACGTGCTTAGGTCGTTTATAGGCGTCTTTGTAGTAGTCTATTTTGATGACATCCTGATCTACAGTAAGAGTCTAGAGGAGCATGTGAATCACTTAAAACAAGTGCTAGAAGTCCTTAGGAAGGAACGCTTATTTGGAAACTTTAAGAAGTGCTCTTTTTGTACGGATAACGTGGTGTTTCTAGGCTTTGTTGTCAGTTCACAGGGTATACAGGTGGACGAGGAGAAGATCAAGGCCATCCGAGACTGGCCAAGTCCCAAAACGGTTGGAGAATTTTGCAGCTTCCACGGTCTGGCCGGGTTCTATCGCCGGTTTGTCCGAGACTTCAGCACGATTGCAGCCCCTCTCACCGAGGTCATCAAGAAGGACGTTGGATTCAAATTGGAACGAGCTCAGGAGGAAGCGTTCAATACCCTCAAGCACCGGCTTACACACGCACCCTTACTCTCCCTGCCCGATTTTCTCAAGACCTTTGAGATCGAGTGTGATGCATCCGGAGTGGAAATTGGAGCCGTGCTCATGCAGGAGAAGCGACCTATCGCTTACTTTAGCGAGAAACTTGGAGGAGCTACGCTTAACTATCCGACCTACGACAAGGAGCTCTATGCATTGGTCCGAGCTCTACAAACGTGGCAACACTACTTGTGGCCAAAGGAGTTCGTTATCCATACCGATCACCAGTCCTTGAAGCATCTCAAAGGACAACAGAAGCTGAACAAGCGACATGCGAGATGGGTGGAGTTCATCGAGACCTTCCCTTATGTGATTCAGTACAAGCAAGGAAAATAAAATGTTGTGGCGGACGCGCTATCCCGACGTTATGCCCTGATCTCGACGCTTGATGCCAAGATACTTGGATTTGAGATGATCAAAGAAGCCTACACAACCGACCTGGATTTCCAAGAAGCTTATCGCGCCAGTTCTAAGTTTGCATATGGCAAATATTATCAAAGTGATGGGTACTTGTTTTATGAGCATAAACTGTGTATACCTAACACTTCTATGCATGACTTGATTGTCAGGGAGGCACACGGAGGAGGCTTGATGGGACATTTCGGAGTTCTTAAGACGCCAAGCGTGGTCCAAGACCATTTTTACTGGCCGCACCTCAGGAAGGGAGGAGGCTTGATGGGACATTTCGGAGTTCTTAAGACGCTAAGCGTGGTCCAAGACCATTTTTACTGGCCGCACCTCAGGAAGGATGTGGAGAGAATATGCCAAAGGTGCACGGTTTGCAAACTAGCCAAAGGCCGCAGCCAGGGCGCAGGAATGTACACTCCATTACCCATCCCTACCGAGCCGTGGACAGACATCTCCATGGACTTCGTCCTCGGGTTACCTAGGACCCGCCGAGGTAAGGACTCTATCTTTGTCATAGTAGATAGGTTCTCTAAGATGGCACACTTTGTTCCTTGCCACAAAACTGATGATGCTTCCAACATAGCCGACCTGTTCTTTAGGGAAGTTGTTCGATTACATGGAGTTCCTAGAACCATAGTGTCAGATCGGGATACTAAGTTTCTTAGTTACTTTTGGAAAACGTTGTGGGCTAAGTTAGGAACTAAACTGTGTTTTTCCACAACCTGTCACCCTCAGACCGACGGTCAAACCGAAGTGGTCAATAGGACCTTGTCAGCCCTCTTGAGATCGGTCATTAAAAAGAACCTTAGGACTTGGGAGGAATGTTTACCTCACATTGAGTTTGCTTATAACCGAGCTGTTCATTCTACAACTTTGTTTTCACCATTCCAGTTAGTTTATGGTTTTAATCCTCTTACCCCTTTGGATCTAACCCCTTTACCAATGAATGAGCGTGAAAACATGGATGGGAAAAAGAAAGCGGACCTGGTGAAGAAAATGCACGAAAAAGCAAGGCAGAACATCGAAAGAAAGACGGAACAATTCCAGAAGTACGCCAACAAAGGGAAAAACAAAAAGATGTTCGAGCCCGGAGACCAAGTGTGGATCTACCTAAGAAAAGAAAGGTTTCCAGAAGAAAGGAAGTCTAAGTAGATGCCGAGAGTAGACGGACCATTCACTATCTTAGAGCGGATCAACGACAACTCCTACAAGATCGACCTCCAAGGTAAGTACTCCGTCAGTTCAAGTTTCAATATCGCTGATATTATCCCTTTTCACGCAGATAAAGCCAACTTGAGGACAAGTCCTTTTCAAGAGGGGGGGATGATAGAATAGGGAACAAAGGACGAGGTGCGAACCGAGGTTCAGGCCGGAACACAAGACCAAGTGGCCGACCTAAGCGAAGTCGAGGTTCAGGACGGGATGCAAGCCAAAGGAGCCGACCTGAATGAGGTCCTGGCCATACCAACTGGACCAATGACCAGGTCGCGTACCAAGAAACTCATGGGGACCATCCAACGAGTTCTCACCGAGCTAAGAAGCCAAGGCCGAGCTGACGACCTAACACCTGTTCACAAAGTCATGACCGTTCTCATGTACTCTGGTCCGAACTGACCTGGTTGGGGTGTTGTGTTAATACTCTTTTTCCTTACATTCGGTTTTGTCCCACTGGGTTTTCCGAATGGGGTTTTAACGAGGTTAATGCACACCCAACTCACGACCAAGGTTCGATTCGCGGCCAAGTATAACGGTCAAGAAGTTCAAGAGTTAGCGAGAGGATGCGAAGGGTTACCCAGAAGTCCGATTGTTATTCAACGTATTTCTAGTTTCATTTAGTTTCAATTAATGTCTTTTAATTTTCTGTAAATACCGATGGTCTCCCTCTAGCCTCTATATAAAGGCAACGATGTACTTGGATTTCTCATCACTTATCTTTTATAAAATTTCTCTTTGAGTTTTCTCTTTTGTTCTTCAAGAATTTTGTCGATATTTTGGTGGTTAGCCATTGATCGATTTCCTGTTTATCAAGTAGTTTCAACCTGCTTGACGCAGCCTTCGATTCCAAAGTGAGAGAGAGAGTTGTAGTCGTATTTGGGGCTTAGGGAATTTCGGGACTTATCTCACACCCTAACATCCGGTATCGCAACCCCCTGATCATTTTTTCCATCCCCTCGTTTTCAAACCTTTTCTTTTGGAATTTGGGCCTAAGGATTTTCGAGCTCTTGCTCACGCCTTAGCATCTCTTCCACGATCCGGTTTGGACTCAAGGCCTATCAACCTCAACCGAGCCAAGTGTGTGACAATTCTAGGATGATCATCTATCAATATCCAACATCCTTTGTAGCTCCTCCAGGGTCGAATATTGGATCATCCACGCTGTCTATGATTATACAATGAGAGTTCCTTGTAGGAATCGCCGGATGTGATGTTTTCCTGTTGATCTTTGATAAGCACATCTTTTGATTTGGGTAGTTGATGAGTGTTTCAACAGATGCTAGGAACGAAGTACCAAACATCAAGGGTTTTGTTTCATCCTTTCTCATCTCCATAACATGGAAATCAGTAGAAACAAGACAAAATATCCCTTGAAAAGGCAATTCGGGTTTGAAATCAAGTGTGCCTGCACCAGAAAGATCTCCATAGTGAATATAAATCTTAGAAGGATGAAAAATCGAAATACCTGTATTCTCTGCAATGGTCTTTGGTATGAGATTCACATCAGGTCCAGATTCACAAAGAGAATCACGAAATTTCACTTCCTTGATTGAGAATGGGGCATCAAACTTCTCGGAATCCTTCGTCTTAGAAAGCGCCTCCAATGGTGGTTTTGATGTCACCATTAGTGTCTCATCTTCCACGTGGTTTGTCTTACAGTCAAGGTGGTGAGGGGCTGAAGGAAAAAAAGGCTTTGGTTCATCAAGAGCAAGGGACTTATGATCTTGTTTGTCGTCTCCAAAACACTTGAATGAATCGGTAGAGACGAGATCGTCACTAGGGATAGAAATAGGTTCTCCTTTTTCTTGATGACTGGCTTCCATGACGTGATGATCCAAAGGAATTTCATTTGACGGCCTCTTTCTAACAAACTTGATGGAGGATTCTCCATCTACTTCACAAGCTACCCAATACCCATCATCCATAGATTCATTGAGCTCTTGAAGCATATCATCAATCTTGGTTTGGGAGACAGACGACATATCTTCATCAAAGAGAGGATCATGGATATCTCCGTGGGCATTGTAAGTTGAATGAGGGTCGTGGTCCCAGTAGAATCCTTGTTCCTCTAAAGCTTCACGAATGGATTTGTTGTGGCTGCAAAGTCCTCTTGTGTGGTGGTTCGGAACTGAATTCTGATCCATTGAGGATAGATCACGAATGTATTGTGCTTCTCGGCGTCGAGTGGCTTGAGGAGTGTTGTAAAACCTCCCTCATAGTAGTAATTTCGTTTCATATGGTTCATTGCTTCATAACCTGAAATAAGAAGAACCAAAAACGAAAAAAAAAGTAGAAAGGGTGTTCTAGAGTCGATTTACCAACCTTTCTTAGGGTTTTGCAGAAAAGAAAACGCGTGCCTTCCCCGGCAACGGCGCCAAAAACTTGATGTGGTATGTGTCGAGGGTTGTCAAGTTTTACCCTAAATGAAATCAATAGCCGCAAGTGCACAGCTGATCGATTGTAGTACTTAGGGATCGAATCCACAGGGAAGGAGGATCTTTTCCTGCAAAAGCCTTTGAAAGAAATATAAAGTAAGGAAGTCTAGAACCAAACGGTTTTGTGGGGGTTTTGGTGGTGTGTTTAAAATGTAAAAACGAATCTTAAAGAGAAAAAATGGTAATTAAAATGACCTAATAACTAAACTTAACGAAAACGAGTAAAAACGAAAAAAACGGCTAATTTAATTGCTTAAATGAAAATCGATTAAAAAGGAATGAGAATATTGAACTAAAGCTTGAAATAAAAACGGTGTGAATCTATAAGGAAAGAGGTGTTGGGGTTCAGGGAAGTTTTCTCAGGGGTACGAACGATTCAAAACATTGTCTTAGCTTAAACTTTTCGAACTGGAGTCACGGACGTATGAATATGCCACTGTCGTGATCATAGACAACTAGCTCTCTCAACGCTGACCAGTAGGTTTCCACTCTGGCCCTGGAAAAGAAGAGATGCATTATGTTTAAGACTCGTCAGCATTCACAAATCGCCCATAGGTAGGTTTCCACTCCTATGTTTGTTTTGCTCTCCTAAACTAGATCTGACATCGGATGAACACTTTCGTGTCACCAAGCATCTGGATCAGATTGTAGTTCATGACGCTACTCTCATGCAGTAAAAACGAATTCAGAAGAAAAAGTTCTAAGGTTCGGCTCAAAAGCTCATGGAATCCTCATCGAATATATAAATCCCCATCGAAAATCCCTTAAACCCAACAATAAAACTACTCAGACATGATGAACGAAATCAAAAACATAGTATTAAAAAGTAGAATAGAAACCGAAATTGAAAAAGAAAGAACAAGGGTTCAAGAGACAAATCTCTCTCTCCCTAAAACCTAAAAACAAAGCTTAAAGTAAAATTTCTGTAAAGTATTTCGTCTCTCCTCCTCTGTCTCTAAAAACGACCTAAATAACATGTATTTATAGTCTCCAATACTCTCTGGTGTCTAGGGTTCCAGAATTGAGGCTGGGAAAATGATACGGGCTTCAGAAATGGGCCTTCGAGCTCGGAGTTAGCTGGCCGCGGTCGGGATGGCTGTGACCATGGGGAATGGCTTGCTGGCCGCGGTCGCGGTGCTTCTGACCGCGGGAAATTGATTGTTGGCCGCGGGTGGAAACGCTTGCCGGCTGGTTTACGGGACATCTTGCTCTTCGCGTATCTTTTGATTGAACTGTTGGATTTCCAAGCTGTAAAGTGTGCTGGAAAGCTGATACTTCCATGTTTAAGGTCTCCAAATTTGATCTGGATCAGACGGTGAGAACGCCTTAAATCAGGGGTGAACTTCTAACGGTTTGACTCTGAGCTGAAATCTGGTTTTCTATCCATTTTGTTAAGCTTTTCCCTAAGTTACCTGAAAAGAGTCTTGTAACTACAAATACTAGAAAAATGTAATAAAAGTACTTGAAAACAATTAAAAACATAGAAAAAGTATTTCAAAACGATCCATAAAAGTGGTCAAAATACGGTGTTATCAAGTTCCCAAAAATTCATTGTTTAATGAATCTTTTGAATCTACACCCGAATCATCTTCGTTAGGAATGAGAATATATTTATCTTGAGGCAACCTTAACGGAAAAAATACAAAAACTAATTATAGTAGAACTAACATATCTACAAAGATAAATACAACATATATAAGAAATAAAACCGAACAGTAATTTCATTGAATAGATTCTTACTAAGATCGGAATTTCGCCACCAGAGGACACACTGGATCAAACAAAATCTGAGTTGTATTAAAAGCATTTGAGACGCTCATCTCACCTAAAACGTTTAAATAAACCGGTGTTTCAGAAATACATATAATTTGTGTCAAAATTTTTCATAATCTTCGCAAAACTTGAATCAGAATAAATCATTAAATAATATACCTCGATAGTTTTTGATACATGCAAGCCTTATAATAACCACAACGACGGATGTGCAATTACATTTAACGTAAGCAGCAACTTCTTTTGCATAATCAGCCCAAAAAGTACACGGTAATTGTAGGTCGCTGTTATAATTAATGTACATGATCATGAGTTAAATTATATATAAGTAAAAATAACACAAAATAAAATAAAATATTAAATTAAAACTTAGTGTGTTACCTCTCATCTCTAAGATAAATCTTAAGCCTAGAACGACATTTTCCTTGAGCCATGACGTCCTCAACATGACCAACTCTTACGATTTGTCCGACCACGTCTTAGCGTTTGTAGTAAAGTAACACGAAACAAAAGAACCAAAACAATTAGCCAACAGCTATCTAATGCAGAAAGTGTTTAATACCGTGTCATAAAAAACGTTAACTAAACTCTGCGTCTCTGTTTAGATATGGTACCGATCAAATAGCCATTGTCTAAATCAGTTGATAAAATATCTGGGAAACTTTTCATATATTTCTCGGGAATTTCCTGAGGGAAATCCAAGCATCCCGAGACAGTCGTAGTTGCATAGAACACTATCTTGAAAGGTGTTCATGTAGTTCGATACTCAGAATTATACTCAAGAATCTTAAAAGTATTGATAAGCACCGATCTCCCCTCGATCAAATCTTTACGAAAAGATTTAGCGAAATCTCTTTCAACAGTTGCTTGTATTCTATCACCCTGAGTTCCAAAGTACAAAAAAAAAAAATAATAATAACCAACAACTAATTGACTAACCGGGATATTCATAAATTATAGCACTAACCTCTTGATCAACCAAGACCATCTCAAGTGAACACTCCCCTCTGCCTTTGAATCCATCCCAAACCTTGAGGATATTAACCTTGATAACATAGTTATCAGAGCCAGGACGTAAATTCCTAATGAAAATATTAGATGCTGATTTTCTTTTAAAAATCGACATAGCTTAGACCACACGATATTGTAACAAAGAAGAAAAATTGGGAGAAACCAAGACGAAGAACGGGTCTGTATATATAGAGTAGAAGACATGATATATATATATATATATATATATACAATATGTAAATTAGACTTAATTCAGATATGATTTACTACTTTTTAAAACATACATATATCTCAACAAAAGTTAAAGACGATAAAATCTTCTAATTTTCTTTATTTTAAAAATGTTAAAACGATAAAATCTTCTAATTCTCTGTATAAAGTAAAACATTAATACTCAGATAATATTAATTTATATTTACTTTAACGGAAAATTAACATAATGAAGTTAATAACAACTTTAAAAAGGACAAACATTATAGGAACTGTATATACAAAGTAGAAACTATATTTCATAAAATAATATTTTAGCGATTTAGGTAAACAATTTAAGGAATTCTTCCTAAACGATGGGTTTAAGCTACCAAAAACGTTAATACATACCAATAATTAAGCGTACCAATAAATTAGATAAAATTAGATCAATCAAAATATATTTACAGTTTATCCTTTGTATAATTTATCCTCCGTATATTATATTTACAATTCTTAAACAATATATTGCATGAAAGAATAATTATTAGTTTAACTATAAAATGGAAAATTTATATAATATATTGTAACAATCGCGCACATATGCAGAGATCAATAAGATAATTCATATGAGAAGAAAATGCCAATAACAAACTAAAAAACTACAATGTAGTTTTACACGATATAAGAAAATGTATAGACTGGTATTCCAAGATTAATGTATTCGTAAAAGGAAATCACTATGGATTGGCTGACACCAATGCCTCTCATAGACGTACCACTTCAGGAATAGTTGGTGCCAACATTATCCGCGTGTAGTTAGGAGCGGCCACAGCCATCCAATTGCCTTATGATCACAAAAAAAAACAATTAAAAGAATTAATAACTTAACAAACACTTTTAATTTTTGTCGAGTTATATCTATATTCGAAAAAGTATCATGCATTTCAGCCTTAGAATACCTCGGATGATATCAAATTTTGCAGACAGAATGATACATATTATCATATCGTCCTCACAATGCGTCAAACCATCGAGAAAATCTCGACCAAAATTGCCAACCAAACGACATGATAGACGACATCCTCTAATAATTATAAAATAAAGCAATCAGTGGAAAATTGGTTGTAAGTAAGTAGCTTTGAATTATAAACTGTATGATAGTACACAATACCTCTGATTCTCCAATTCGATATATATCTCATTCATCATGTAGCTTTCAAAAAGATTTTGTGGATCAACGTAGTTTCCAACAGTCATAACACGTCCAATTAGATCTTACCGCAAAAAACATAAAAAGGCAAGTCAACACTATAGCGATTTACACCTTACAAAACATATAATGTGTCATATCACAAGAACATACATAATACACACAGCTTACCCACACAACTGTTAACGTCGCAGGATCCATCTATGATATATTCGAACTCGGTAAAAGAGAAGCAACGATCTGAGTTATCCATCACAAATACACCGATAGACGTTTACAGTTTACAAAATATCAAAAGAAGGAGAAACAACTCTATATATACGCCGAACCATATTTCAAAATATATATTTATTTTATTTTATTTTTATAAAATTTAAGCAACGATAAGATTACGGCAAAAAAAAATAATATTGTGTTATAATTAAACCTTTATTAATATAACAAATTTGATATATATAATTATTCTAATATCATTTGTTATATATTGTTTTTATTAAAATAAGAAATAAGTATGCCCCAATAAAGAAACTAAAAAGAAAATATGATAAATAACTACTGTCTTGTGATCATCAACCAACGAATCCTAATGCATGGTATGCACTTTTAAACGAAGGATACACGACTCCACCAACAGTCCTAATATCATCAAAACTACGTGGACCCCTAACTATGTCCAATAAGAGCCTCAGATAATACTTTTCTCTGTACTCTGTCAGCGATTCGTCCACAACACACGCACCAAAATTCCCCTTTAGTCTTGGCCTCCATGTCTTATTTTTACGATCCCATACAAACATAGAAGGAATCTCCGAGTATAAAAGATTCCTCGCCTCTGGATAAAACTGATTACACCTAAACCAAGCAAGGAATTTAGGCTTTCTGGCAGGAACACGTCTATCTAAATTATTAGAAAACGAAATATTTTTCCCAGGGAGATGAAACGGCATAACTTGCCAATTAACATGTGGTCGCCTGTGAGCACATAGACATGGACAATAGAAAACAATCATATATACAATAAGAACAATCAATCGAATACCGTAGAGAAAACTAACAGTTATTGACGTCTCTAAAAACGTAATACAAAACTCATTTACCAAACGCTTCCATCGAAGAACCCGAATGCAAACAAATCTAACAATGCAAACTGATAACTCGCAAAGTCGCGATAGATGCATATATATACCTATGCTGAAATATATGCATATATATAGAGATATAAGAATTATGTGGTTTACGCGTTGTTTATTTTTTTCTAGGGTTTCTTAGAATTTTTTCCTTTAATAATATTTTATACATTTTAACAAATAGACTTTTTCACAGACTTTTTACCTTTTAACTACTAAGTTTTTCCTTTTTAACAAATAACTAAATAATCAATTATATATCTTGTGTCTGATAAAAGAAACACCATGAGTTTCATAGTTGCTAAATGGAAAAAATTAAAAGTTGTGATATGATCAGGGATATCTTCGAATCCTCTAAGATATTTATAAATTCGAGTTACTTGGAGTCCAAGAAGTCAATAAAACATGTGTTATTTATGTGTATATAATATTTATATTACTTTCTCCGATATTCATTTTTCAATATCAAACAACAATAATAATAACATTAAACAATATATTTTATTGATTAAAATACAAAAGTCTGAAGAATATAGAATATTTAAACTATAATTTGTATACATGGTAAATAGTTTTTAAAAATGATATATACATATCTGAATAAGATGCATCATAACACTATTCAATGTAGACGTCCCACACTACCACGTGTGCATGGCCTCTTACGCGGATAGCTGCAGTTTTATAAAAAAGATTTGAGAGAGAGAAGGCGACCACGGGTTAATACCAAAAAGTCAAATACAATCATTAAGTATTAGAAAAATAAAGTAAATAAAAAAAAACTCACTGTTCCAAAAACTCATCTAACTCTGGAATACGGGGATTGAGTTCGAACTTAGTAGGAGAAGTGGACGATATAGTGATCTTGCCTACGTTTATAAAACACATATAGAATCAAAACAATAAAACAGTAATAATATAAATACTATAAATTAGTATACTAAAAATATTTTCCAAAATAATCAATGATCGCCCATCTAAGCACACACACAATGATATCATGATCACAGCGTCTCCAAGATGCATAAAATCTTTTAGCCATCTCACCGGATAATTCACAACTCAAATCAACACCACTGAATTAAAACACATCACACATAATCAGCTAGATAGAACAAATAAAACGACAATATACAGTTTAAAAACATTCAACAGACAGTACCGTTTATCCCTCAGACAGAATGTGACGGTTGAATATGCACCCCATATTTCGGAATCACATACATCATTACATGGACTGCCATATGACGGAACAGAATGCTCTCCAGACAGTAAACCACACCACGTCCCAGATCGACTTACATTTAAGACCCGACCTATCAAATCTTCATAAACAATAACCATATTAACATCAGCAACATAATAATAACGAAATTCAATAACCAATCCGAAAATAAACACACAAACTAAATAGTCATCATTATGGGCACGGTCCAATATCCTTTGAAAATCAACGAAGTCAAAATAAGTGTTTTCACATCTACGTGAAGTCTTGTCAATGATAGTTGATGGTAGGAACAATATTTTGTATCTATGAGAAGTCGGTCTACAACTATCCTCACAATCGATAACAGAAAAACGACTAATAATAATCCAACTACCAACATCTATGCGAGACGATGCGACACCGATCTCACCATCTCTAACAGTGGCCTGAATTTTAAAACCCTGTGAATAAAACAGCCAATTAGACACCAACAAATTTTTATAATATTTTTGTGTAATGGTACAATAAATACCTGTTCATCCGATAATATGAGCTCCATGGAATAACGTTTCGAAATTAGCATATGCATCCACGTCTGTAAAACCTTAACAAAGATAGTACAACCATCTTTGGAAGGACTCAAACGGGACACACACCTTCCAAAACACATTAAACCAAGAGAAACTGTATAAGTACACACCGAATTCTGGTGTCCCGATATACTAATATTCTTTTCGATGAGTATATCACTCGGTTCGACGTTTCTCTGATCCTCACTATCATCGTCAATCTCAGTCTCATCATCCAACATAATATCTTCATCATCATCTTCATTATCATCAGCCGAATCAGCATCGTCATCATCTTCATCTTCGTCATCACCGCTATCACCTTCCGAGTTATCACTTGAACCACCAGATCCTTCACAAGACTCACCGTCGTCAATAAAATCATCTTCAGAATCATATTCATCTGTTTGGTCCATATCATCAGTATCATCGCACGACTCTGGATCAGACCCCATATAATCCTCAAACCATAATCATCATTAGTACCACGACCAGATAACACCTCGGTATCATTAGAGTCGCTATCTTCTGCATAGATAAATATATGGAAAAAAACAACGTAGTTAGAATTCAAAAATAAATATCAAAAACCAAAAAAAAGAAAAAAACGGTGCTCAAAACAAAAAAGAAGAATTGAAACCATTAGATTCTTTATTTATAACCCATGCATTCCTCGCAAAATCCCATAGAAAGGTCTTGTGAGCATGATCGCTCGTATTAACACGATCATAACCTAAATGCACAAAACAAACATCAGAACAAACATAAATACGTATAAAAAATGTAATATACATCATTAACAAAAAATATATTACAGGAAGAGCAGAAATACCTCCTTTGATAAAAAAAACTTGTGATCAAGCATAGATATATAATACGCAGAACCAATATCTACATAAAAAATGAATACGTTCGTAGATTAATATATAGTAAAGGTACGAATTTGAAAGACTGAGATATAGCACTACAAAAGGTACAAAACTGTAAGATTAATAGACAGGACTACGAATCTTCGATAGCAGGATTATATGTCCGCAAGGTCCATTCGTCGATAGCAGGATCCATACGCAACTTGCATGGATAACCTATAAATATAAAACAACTACTAATAAGTATTATAACTTGCATGAATAACCTAAAGAGGCACAATAACTTTTTTTGTGATATCGACGAAAACGTATGGAGTTACGTAACGATAATCAGTCATCTCTTTGTGATCCATATTCTGACGATTCGAATTCAACACAGATCTTAACCGGTGAGCATAAACCTGGTTATCAAAACCTATGGTCGAAAAAATCTTTAGAATCATTAAAAAAGTAGAGAGCATATATATTATTATTAATTTGAGGATGGCTAGATATATACCCGAAGCAGTACACAGAACTTCCCAAGTGATGATGACTTTAGATGGATGATCAAAACTGTACTTAGACAAACACATAGTTAGGTTTGCATGCAAATAAACAAACATGATGAATCTTTTCTAAAGAGATCCAAAAAGTTAATGCTATTGTAAAAACCCTAGTAAAATAAATACAGAACTCTAACAGAAAAACTAACTGTAAATTATGAGACGATTGGATGAAAACACTCATATTTATACGTCTAAAGAACCTAGGGTTTATTTTCTTGTGAAAATACTAAAAGGTAATTCTTGTTTTATATACGATATTATCTTCCCATGAATTTCGTAGTTATTAATTATAAAAAATGTAAAAATTCTATTCTAGATAATAATAAAGGAAATTATGACATATTTCCATTTGCAAAATATTCAACAAATACAAATTATTTCCAAACATCGAATTTTATTAAAATTCTAAAAATTAAAAAAAAAACTAAGCACAGGATTCGAACCCATGAGCATTTGCTAAATGGACAAAGCACCTAACCAACACAGCTACCATCTCATTCAGAATAAATGACATATTGGAAGGTATGTATAATGTCTCTGTATTTAAAAATTTGGATGGTGGGCCACGTTATTCTGCAGTTAGAAATACGGGCCATGTTTCATTTTTTTAAAATATACTTAGCATTTAATATATGGTTTAATAAGCATCTAATTTATGGTTTTAATAATAAAAAAAATTGATCAACCAATTAAATTACAACGTGAGATGACAAATTAGAATCCACATTTTCATTAATCAAAACGACACAAAATTGTGTGTTAAACCACAGCATTATTCATTTTTTAAATACTATAATAGATATGAATGCATATTCATGTTCTACTAACTACCAAATAAACAAATCGATATAAACACTATGCAAAAATCACAAAAACACAAATTTTGTTATTCTAATAGAGGTAAATGAAAACATGGCTCACATGAAAAGAAATTGTGAACAAACACCATTAAATTTGTCTCTTTAATCGTACTCAAAACACTATAGTACACTTAGAAAGTTCTTAATTTGTAATACTAAAGATACTCATTGTTCTTTTTTTTTAAAAAAAAGAAAAAGCTCAATGATATTGTATCGTATTAGTTCTGATATCTGGGGAGATTCAGAAAAAAAAAGAAAAAAAAAAAATCCAACTGAACCAAACCCTACTGAACTGAATCAATGTTTAATAAATACCTGAATAGTTCTTCATATAAAATATTTTGGATACTTGTATTGAACCAGACTAAATTAAAACTGGAACAGATATCCGAAATATATAAAATATAATTATATATCCAAAATTTCTTGTATTAATACTTATTAGATTTGCAGTGACCAAAGTAACTATAATTATAAATACTAGTCGAATGTATTTGTTATGTTTAGATCCAAATAACTAAATTATCTATAAATTTTAATTATATTAGTCAAGTCATAACAATATATAATAATAATAATAATAATAATATTTACTTAGATATTATTTTAAGTATATCGACAAACCAAATTAAAAAAACAACCAAATCCAGATTGAAACACATCCGGATAAGTTTTTTCTCTCAATTTCCTCTGTTTTCATGCCCATAATATACAGGAACAAGAGGGTTCTATAAGTAGGTGGGCGCATGGAGATTAATAATTAGAAATTTTAATATTAAAATAGAAAAGAAGAATAGGAGAGAGAGCGAGAGAGAATAAAAATCCTTTAATTAAGCAAAAATGAAAATAGCTTCTTCTTCTTCTTCCCCGCTTCTCGCCGTTGTCTCCAGCTCAGGCTCATTGGTGAGTTGACTTATTTAATATCAACATGTCTCTTTAATCAATCACCCTTTTACCAAAGTTTCAGTTTTTCCCTCTCGTAACCACTCTTTGAATACGACCCGTAAGTCAACTTTCCGTTTATACAATCGGAGGATGTAGAATCTTAGGATCATTGGAGTTTGAAAAACCCTTTTGAAAAATGTGATCTTTGGGTTTACGAAAGTTTCATATTTTGTTCTCCTGATGTTCTTATTGTAAAATGGTTTTGTTTTATTCTGGGGATCTAATCAGATTTTTTTGTTTTTTTGTTTTTACTTTCAGGATCCGAAAACTAGCGGATCACTTGGATCTCGAATCCTTCCGGCTACTCAAAGGTTAGTGCTTTTTTGTTTCTAAGCCTCTTTCTGATTTTGAATTCTTGGTTTATAGACATGGAAATAGATTGTAGGATCAAAGTTTGAAACCCCCTGATACAGTGATTATTATAATGATATGATGATGAATATGGTTTTGAAGATGTATATGGTTTTGATGATGTTGATATGATGATGACAATGTTGCCCATGAATATGATGATGATTCAGGGTTTAAGGCTGAGGGTTTGAGGTTTAGGGTTTAGATATGATTGAGTAAGAATTAGTTCGAAGATTCTGTATATGACTCATGATTGATTGTTTGATGAGTTTTTTGTCTTGATGGTTCTTTGTTGATTTGTCCATTGCTTTGAATAGCTGTCCTTTGAACTTAGAACCGCATTTGTAGCCCTCTGAACATGGTTATTGCCGGCTGTTTTTTTTTTTAAAAAAACAGTCTTGGAAATTTGTTCAGAATATTAAAGCTTGGAGTTTGAATGATGTTTATTTCAGGCTTCTGAAATTGAATTCATGTTCGAGAAGTCATTCTTCTTTAATGTAATTGTTAGCTCATCCTAGAGACTTCACAGCAAGTTGTAGCTCATCCTTCATTTTTCTGTGTAGATGTGTGATACTATATATCATTTAGACTTAAGAGTTTTGGTGATTTTCCTTTTCACAATTGGTTTGGATGTTTTCCTTTTTAATAACGTTTAAGCGTTTTTCCTTTTAGCGTTAAGTTGTATTCCTATATAAGGATTTCTTATGATCAATAAGAGAAAGCTTAAGTTCATTTTTCTCTTCTAGCTTTTACCATAGCGTCAGCATATGACCTGTTACTCGAGCTAAAGCAAGGCAATTAGCTCATATCAATTTGGTATCAGAGCCAGACTTTGAACATGAGAAATACCAATCTTTTAGTTCTGTGATCTATGAGAGCAAGACTCAGAAAAGTTTCTTTTATATTTGAGCTCTTACAGATTTGGATCATTGTATTTGGTGTTTTAATTAACAAAGAAAATTCAATTCGTAGTCTACTAGTTTTACGCAGATTTTACTAATATTAATAGAAGTCAAAACATTTGCGAGTTTTCTATGATTTCTAAGTTCTAACCATGTAAGTATACCAGATCATCCCCATCGGACAATCTTCTCCGCTGTAGAACAATGTCTTCCAATTACCTAAGGCATGTTGAGTCCATGTCCCTGCTACCGTCAGGCGCGGGTAGGGTCACTCAATTAAACGCCGTCGTTTTAGGGGAATCCCTTGCATCCGAGGAGAATGATCTCATCTTTCCCAGCAAGGAGTTCTCTAGCCAGGCTCTTGTTTCCTCCCCTCAACAGGTTTCTCTCTCTCTGTTTCTCTTCTAACATCAATTGAGTCCTAGATAAGTAAACCTCATCTTCTCTGCTTGCTTTATATGATCTGTCAATCATTTCATCTTCTTGTTATTGCATGCAGTACATGGAAATGCATAAAAGGTCGATGGAGGACCCTGCTGGGTTTTGGTCTGACATTGCGTCTGAGTTTTACTGGAAGAAGAAATGGGGTGACCAAGTGTTTTCCGAGAATCTTGATGTCAGGAAGGGTCCTATTCACATTGAGGTGGATGTTTTTTCTTTCCTTTCCTTGTTATTCTTGTTTGCTCTATTTTCTGCATCTCCTATGAGCATATGTTTCGTCGTGATGACATGTCTGTGATCATGTGCCACCAGTGGTTCAAGGGGGGAATCACCAACATTTGCTATAACTGTTTGGACAAAAACGTTGAAGCTGGTTTGGGTGATAAAACAGCCATTTTCTGGGAAGGAAATGAACGTGGTGTAGATGCTTCCTTAACTTATTCTGAGTTGCTCCAACAAGTTTGCCAGGTATAAACAATGCTGTTCGTACTCTCTGACCACCTCTATATCTCTTCTTTCTCACTAATTTGCTGGCACTG